CAGATATAAGGATTACCAGGTCATAAGGATTACCATGTCATAAGGGTTTCCAGATCATAAGGATTTCCAGATCATAAGGATTACCAGATCATAAGGATTTCCAGATATAAGGATTACCAGGTCATAAGGATTTCCAGGTCATAAGGATTACCAGATCATAAGGATTTCCAGATATAAGGATTACCAGATCATAAGGATTTCCAGATATAAGGATTACCAGGTAATAAGGATTACCAGGTCATAAGGATTACCAGGTCATGAGGATTTCCAGATCATAAGGATTTCCAGATCATAAGGATTACCAGGTCAAAAGGATTTCCAGATCATAAGGATTTCCGGTCATAAGGATTTCCAGGTCATAAGGATTACCAGATATAAGGATTACCAGATCATAAGGATTTCCAGATATAAGGATTTTCAGGATTTCCAGATATAAGGATTTCCAGATATAAGGATTACCAGGATTTCCAGATATAAGGATTACCAGATCATAAGGATTTCCAGATATAAGGATTACCAGGTCATAAGGATTTCCAGATATAAGGATTACCAGGTCATAAGGATTTCCAGATATAAGGATTACCAGGTCATAAGGATTACCAGGTCATAAGGATGACCAGATATAAGGATTTCCAGATCATAAGGATTTCCAGATCATAAGGATTACCAGATCATAAGGATTTCCAGATATAAGGATTTCCAGATATAAGGATTACCAGGTCATAAGGATTACCATGTCATAAGGGTTTCCAGATCATAAGGATTTCCAGATCATAAGGATTACCAGATGTAAGGATTACCAGGTCATGAGGATTTCCAGATCATAAGGATTACCAGATCATAAGGATTTCCAGATATAAGGATTACCAGGTCATGAGGATTTCCAGATCATAAGGATTTCCAGATCATAAGGATTACCAGGTCATAAGGATTTCCAGATCATAAGGATTTCCGGTCATAAGGATTTCCAGATATAAGGATTTCCAGATATAAGGATTTCCAGATATAAGGATTTCCAGATATAAGTCATAATTTCCAGATTTAAGGATTTCCAGATATAAGGATTTCCAGATATAAGGATTACCATGTCATAAGGGTTTCCAGATCATAAGGATTTCCAGATCATAAGGATTACCAGATCATAAGGATTTCCAGATATAAGGATTTCCAGATATAAGGATTACCAGGTCATAAGGATTTCCAGATATAAGGATTACCAGGTCATAAGGATTTCCAGATATAAGGATTACCAGGTCATAAGGATTTCCAGATCATAAGGATTACCAGATCATAAGGATTTCCAGATATAAGGATTTCCGGTCATAAGGATTTCCAGATATAAGGGAGGATTTCCAGATAATTACCAGGTCATAAGGATTTCCAGATATAAGGATTACCAGGTCATAAGGATTTCCAGATATAAGGATTACCAGGTCTTAAGGATTTCCAGATCATAAGGATTACCAGGTCATAAGGATTACCAGGTCATAAGGATTTCCAGATATAAGGATTACCAGATCATAAGGATTTCCAGATATAAGGATTTCCAGATATAAGGATTACCAGGTCATAAGGATTTCCAGATCATAAGGATTACCAGATCATAAGGATTTCCAGATATAAGGATTACCAGGTCATAAGGATTTCCAGATCATGATGATTAACAGATATAAGAATTACCAGATATAAGGATTACCAGGTCATAAGCATTTCCAGATCATGATGATTACCAGATATAAGAATTACCAGATATAAGGATTACCAGGTACCAGGGCCGAATACATTTCTGTTTCGTGAATTTTCAGACGATCTGACTAGGTTTGGTACTGACCCCCTAACGTCATTTTATACCTTAGATCTAGATATGATTCGATATCTGATTCGGTCTAACACTGTTGTTAATGTAAACAGAGACATAAAAGTGAAGATTAGAAAATAACGACACAAAAGACAGGTTAACAAAAAACATCATTCAAACTCCAACTCGATCAAATGATTATAGGTTAACGCAGAGAGCAATGAAAAGGGACAAATAACCCACATGTTCTGGCAGGGTAAACGTTTCTTGCTTCAACGACTACACTATCCTTGTAAACTTAGAGAAATGACAGCGATCCTACTTTCAAACAATCGCCTCTATGACCTCCTCAGGGCGTAAACATGTGATAGTATAAAGATAACCTATCTCTCGTTAATAGGTCGAATATTTCAGTGGCATCAATTACGTCAGAACGTAGATTAAGACAACGACCAGCGATAGAAAGTCATGGAGACGGATAACATGTAAACAACCAATCAAACGGCCCCGACGTCAGATCTTCAGTAAGACAACAACCAGCGATAGGAAATCAAACGGCCCCGACGTCAGATCTTCAGTGAGACAACGTCTAGCGATAGGAAGTCAAACGGCCCCGACGTCAGATCTTCAGTGAGACAACTTCTAGCGATAGGAAGTCAAACGGCCCCGACGTCAGATCTTCAGTAAGACAACAACCAGCGATAGGAAGTCAAACGGCCCCGACGTCAGATCTTCAGTAAGACAACAACCAGCGATAGGAAGTCAAACGGCCCCGACGTCAGATCTTCAGTGAGACAACTTCTAGCGATAGGAAGTCAAACGGCCCCGACGTCAGATCTTCAGTAAGACAACAACCAGCGATAGGAAGTCAAACGGCCCCGACGTCAGATCTTCAGTGAGACAACGACCAGCGATAGAAAGTCATGGAGACGGATAACCTGCAAACACCAAGTCAAACGGCCCCGACGTCAGATCTTCAGTGAGACAACGTCTAGCGATAGGAAGTCACGGAGACGGATAACCTGCAAACACCAAGTCAAACGGCCCCGACGTCAGATCTTCAGTAAGACAACAACCAGCGATAGGAAGTCAAACGGCCCCGACGTCAGATCTTCAGTAAGACAACAACCAGCGATAGGAAGTCAAACGGCCCCGACGTCAGATCTTCAGTGAGACAACTTCTAGCGATAGGAAGTCAAACGGCCCCGACGTCAGATCTTCAGTAAGACAACAACCAGCGATAGGAAGTCAAACGGCCCCGACGTCAGATCTTCAGTGAGACAACGACCAGCGATAGAAAGTCATGGAGACGGATAACCTGCAAACACCAAGTCAAACGGCCCCGACGTCAGATCTTCAGTGAGACAACGTCTAGCGATAGGAAGTCACGGAGACGGATAACCTGCAAACACCAAGTCAAACGGCCCCGACGTCAGATCTTCAGTAAGACAACAACCAGCGATAGGAAGTCAAACGGCCCCGACGTCAGATCTTCAGTGAGACAACTTCTAGCGATAGGAAGTCAAACGGCCCCGACGTCAGATCTTCAGGGAGACAACGTCTAGCGATAGGAAGTCAAACAGCCCCGACGTCAGATCTTCAGTGAGACAACGTCTAGCGATAGGAAGTCACGGAGACGAAAAACCTTTAAACAACAAGTCAAACGGCCCCGACGTCAGATCTTCAGTGAGACAACGTCTAGCGATAGGAGTCTACTTGAGACGTCATTCTCCAGTTCACGTGACTGCTTCACGAGTGACTATCACAACAGACAAATGCATAACAAATCTAAAAGGATTTTAATGTCCGATACCAAACACAGCTTTGTATTACTCCAATGGAGTAGGTTTTTATTTAACACATGCGAAACAGCAACACAGTAAACTAACTTATATCTCAATGTAAAGCTAATGATAAACGAAGGTTATGTTTCTCGACGTTAATCACTGAGATGTAACGAGGTCTCTGTCATCTGTATTCTTCAACAAAATGCAAAATGGCATGAATAGTTCGATAAACAATTGAAAGCGATTGAAACCAATACTGGGCTATTACTACATCAACAAAATGGTAATGTCACCCTCGGTATAGGTAAAAACATATGTATGAAAGTGTTTTCTTGTCTTTTTTTCAGAAAAAGTAAGATTTAGTTCGACTCGGTCACAAGATGCCGGTGATGCCCATAACCATGGCAACCAACCACTTCAACGGTACCACTGCAGTAAACTCAGGTACACATGTCAATCAATCATAGAAAAACAATAACATTGTTCAACGGTATATATTATCACGTGACAGTAATATTGTCGCAGGACGGTTGTCGATAGGCAGTATCACATGACAGTATCATATTATCACGTGACAGTGGTATTGTCGCAGGACGGTTGTCGATAGGCAGTATCACATGACAGTATCGTATTATCACGTGACAGTAATATTGTCGCAGGACGGTTGTCGATAGGCAGTATCACATGACAGTATCATATTATCACGTGACAGTGGTATTGTCGCAGGACGGTTGTCGATAGGCAGTATCACATGACAGTATCATATTATCACGTGACAGTAATATTGTCGCAGGACGGTTGTCGATAGGCAGTATCACATGACAGTATCATATTATCACGTGACAGTAGTATTGTCGCAGGACGGTTGTCGATAGGCAGTATCACATGACAGTATCATATTATCACGTGACAGTAATATTGTCGCAGGACGGTTGTCGATAGGCATTATCACATGACAGTATCACATTGTAAAATGTCAGATGACGATACAGGATATCATGTGATGATAAGCAATACCAGAAATTTTGTCACGTGATGGTACATAATAGTACACCATTTACACGACTTCTTGGCAGTATCACATCAGAGCATATATTATCACGTGATGTTACATATTGTCACATGACGGTACGTGGTATCACAGATTGCTAACAATGCATCAAAAGCGATTATTGAACTTTAACTAACTAGTTTCCAACGGACAGCCCCCACTCCCAGAACCACCATTCACTTGTCTCTACCACTTTCACTGACCTGTCAGATGACGAGATCATCGTCACTGGTTCTAATAAGTACATAATCAATCTGTTTGTTTGTTTTTGTTCGTATTTAACGTAATATGTGCGTTGTCTTTCTTTTTCTCACCAACATTTCTCAGTTCTACTCAAACTGAATTTAGAATAAATAATACAGTGTTAGCTGTTACTGTATCTGTTAGAAGAGTAGCTATGCGAGCCGTGGTCTCTGGATGACGCATGCGTGGTTGGGGGTGTGGGGTGTCTAACAACTCTGACACCATCTTGTGGCGACCTTGACGACCGAGAGGATGATCCTCCTCGAGAGTTACCGGAAGTATGGCGTGACGTCGGACTACTATCACCATCCTCTTGGGAAGTCGTAGAGGATTCCTCTCCCTGCCTTAAAGCTTCAGCCATTTCCTCGGCGCTCTCGTTCAGACGGTTAGCGATCCTCATGAGGTAGGTTGACGCGAGGGCTTCACGTGCATGTCTCTCTTCATCATTGTCCAGAGGTTGGACGTACTCCTGTACGTCGACGCCACCGGTAGGGTCCAGCAGTGACGACTGCAGATTACGACGCGTCAGCCTCGCGAGGACAGACGGGGACGAGACATCAGGTGCTCGCGAGCGAAGTCTACCTCCCCTTGCGTTGACCCTGGATGTGTTGGCTCTAGACGAGGGTGCCCTCGAAGAGGAATCTCTGGATGGGGCTTCTCTAGATGTTGGCGTCTCTTCTTCTTCCTCATTTTCTACGACCTCGGTTGCGTCATCCTCACCCGAGTAGTATGTGGGACGCTCCCAGCTGTCCAGTAATACCAGCTGATGAGCGGGAACTGGATTCTTAAGGTCAAAGTTTTGTTCTGTCACAACCTCGCCCAATCCACTCATTTCTGACAGAAACCCTAATTCACTGGGGTTATTAAATTTGCAACCAATGAAAATTTCGTCGTCGTTCGCCTCGGCTGTGCATGTGAACTCTGTCTCCTTCTCTTTCATCTGCTGTTGAACGGTGAACAGCTGCCGTATATCGTTGCATCCCCGTGCCGTTTTAAAAGTATCGTAAAGTTTTTGGAGGTCTGACCCTTGTGTACAAATATCCACAAATCGTGTATTGATTTTCTGTTTCTGTTCCTGAACCGATTCACGGAGAATTCGGATCAGTGCCTCCTGACGCCTTTCCAGCAGTAATCTGTACTCTATAAACGTATCCTTGATGGAGCTCTTCAACTGACGTTCTTGTAAGTCCAGTTGTTTTGAGGCATTAGCCAGAGAATCTGTCCTACCTTTCATTTTGCTTAGCAAATCTTTACTTTTCTTTTCGATTACATCAAAGTCCGTTGAACTCTCATTTAAGGCTTCTGATACATCCACGATGTTATGTCCTTGCTGTTCTTTGTGATCCAGGACTGTACAATCCCGACACACAGGAATCAGACAATCCTTACAGAAAAAGTTTAATGGTTGGTTCTCATGTTTTGAACAGACATTCTGCGATTTTGCCTGCACTGTCGATAGAAAGTCCATCATCTGTATGACGCGATGGTCTCTGGGTAGAGCGTCGACTTCGCTCCGACTCAGGAATATTTCTACTCTACATTCCGGACATTTGAGTACTCCTTCGAAGTTTTCGTCGAGCCATGCCACCGACCTTCGTTGGTTCTGTTGGTTGTGATCGAATACCTGTTTGAGACAGGGTAGACAGAAAGTATGATTGCATGGCAAAGACTTGGGGTGGCGCTCCGCTTGGTCAAACCGTTCATTACATATGTGACATCGGAGGAACTGTTCTTCAAATGCTGCTTCGTCCACTATCAGACTCCTCTTTGTTGAATCCCCGCCTTCTGCGTTATCCGCAACGTTCGCCATGTTTAGGCAGTGGTACCTGTAAGTAAAAAATAAATAGCCTTAGGGATGTATTAGGCCCTACACCTTGGGGATGTATTATAGTTCCTACACCTTGGGCATGTATTATAGTTCCTACACCTTGGGGATGTATTATGTCCTACACCTTGGGGATGTATCATAGTTCCTACACATTGGGGATGTATTATAGTTCCTACACCTTGGGGATGTATTAGGTCCTACACCTTGGTGATGTATTAGGTCCTACACCTTGGGGATGTATTATTGTTCCTACACCTTGGGGATGTATTATAGTTCCTACACCTTGGGGATGTATTAGGTCCTATACCTTGGTGATGTATTAGGTCCTACACCTTGGGGATGTATTATAGTTCCTACACCTTGGGGATGCATAATAGTTCCTACACCTTGGGGATGTATTAGGTCCTACACCTTGGGGATGTATTATAGTTCCTACACCTTGGGCATGTATTATAGTTCCTACACCTTGGGGATGTATTATAGTTCCTACACCTTGGGGATGTATACACCTATAGTTCCTACACCTTGGGGATGTATTAGGTCCTACACCTTGGGGATGTCCTACACCTTGGGGATATTAGGTCCTACACCTTGGGGATGATATATCCTATACCTTAGGTCCTACACCTTGGGGATGTATTATAGTTCCTACACCTTGGGGATGTATTAGGTCCTACACCTTGGGGATGTATTATAGTTCCTACACCTTGGGGATGTATTATAGTTCCTACACCTTGGGGATGTATTATAGTTCCTACACCTTGGGGATGTATTATAGTTCCTACACCTTGGGGATGTATTATAGTTCCTACACATTGGGGATGTATTATAGTTCCTACACCTTGGGGATGTATTATAGTTCCTACACCTTGGGGATGTATTAGGTCCTACACCTTTGGGATGTATTATAGTTCCTACACTTTGGGGATGTATTAAAGTTCCTACACCTTGGGGATGGTTCCTCTTGGGGATGTAATAGTTCCTACACCTTGGGGATGTGTTATAGTTCCTACACCTTGGGGATGTATTATAGTTCCTACACCTTGGGGATGTATTAGGTCCTACACCTTGGGGATGTATTAGTTCCTACACCTTGGGGATGTATTATAGTTCTTACACCTTGGGGATGTATTATAGTTCCTACACCTTGGGGATGTATTAGGTCCTACACCTTGGGGATGTATTATAGTTCCTACACCTTGGGGATGTATTATAGTTCCTACACCTTGGGGATGTATTATAGTTCCTACACCTTGGGGATGTATTATAGTTCCTACACCTTGGGGATGTATTAGGTCCTACACCTTGGGGATGTATTATAGTTCCTACACCTTGGGGATGTATTATAGTTCCTACACCTTGGGGATGTATTAGGTCCTACACCTTGGGGATGTATTATAGTTCCTACACCTTGGGGATGTATTAGGTCCTACACCTTGGGGATGTATTATAGTTCCTATACCATGGGGAGGTATCATAGGTCCTACACCTTGGGGATGTATTATAGTTACTACACCTTGGGCATGTATTAGGTCCTACACCTTGGGGATGTATTGGTCCTACACCTTGGGGATGTATTAGGTCCTACACCTTTGGGATGTATTATAGTTCCTACACTTTGGGGATGTATTAAAGTTCCTACACCTTGGGGATGTATTAGGTCCTACACCTTGGGGATGTATTAGGTCCTACACCTTGGGGATGTATTGGTCCTACACCTTGGGATGTATTAGGTCCTACACCTTGGGGATGTATTATAGTTCCTACACCTTGGGGATGTATTAGGTCCTACACCTTGGGGATGTATTAGGTCCTACACCTTGGGGATGTATTATAGTTCCTACACCTTGGGGATGTATTATAGTTCCTACACCTTGGGGATGTATTATAGTTCCTACACCTTGGGGATGTATTATAGTTCCTACACCTTGGGGATGTATTATAGTTCCTACACCTTGAGGATGTATTATAGTTCCTACACCTTGGGGATGTATTATGTATTATAGTTCCTACACCTTGGGGATGTATTATAGTTCCTACACCTTGGGGATGTATTAGGTCCTACACCTTGGGGATGTATTATAGTTCCTACACCTTGAGGATGTATTATAGTTCCTACACCTTGGGGATGTGTTATAGTTCCTACACCTTGGGGATGTATTATAGTTCCTACACCTTGGGGATGTATTAGGTCCTACACCTTGGGGATGTATTATAGTTCCTACACCATGGGGATGTATTATAGTTCCTACACCTTGGGGATGTATTATAGTTCCTACACCTTGGGGATGTCTTATATTTCCTACACCTTGGGGATGTGTTATAGTTCCTACACCTTGGGGATGTATTAGGTCCTACACCTTGGGGATGTATTAGGTCCTACACCTTGGGGATGTATTATAGTTCCTACACCTTGGGGATGTATTATAGTTTCTACACCTTGGGGATGTATTAGTTCCTACACCTTGGGGATGTATTAGTTCCTACACCTTCGTGATGTATTAGGTCCTACACCTTGGGGATGTATTATAGTTTCTTCACCTTGGGGATGTATTAGTTCCTACACATTGGGGATGTATTAGTTCCTACACCTTCGTGATGTATTAGGTCCTACACCTTGGGGAGGTATTATAGGTCCTACACCTTGGGGATGTATTATAGTTACTACACCTTGGGGATGTATTAGGTCCTACACCTTGGGGATGTATTATAGTTCCTACACCTTGGGGATGTATTAGGTCCTACAGCTTGGGGATATATTAGGTCCTACACCTTGGGGATGTATTATAGTTCCTGCACCTTGGTGTTGTGTTAGTTCCTGAACGTTTAAGCGTATTTGAGGATGTTAACGCGGGATGTATTCATTCCTAATACTTCCGGTATGATAATTCCCAATACATCAGTTCGATTAAATGTATCGAACACGAGTGACAGTATGATAAATCATTCCATATACAGAATATAAGTTGTAGTTAATCATGACGTCATATTTATCAGACCTAGTTCAGGTAGTGCAATATTAACGGTAGTCGCAGTATGAACAACTTATCCTTATATAACTGCGTGCGTAAGCGTGTTGATGTTGGACTCATTCCAATTATGTTATCTTAACTAGTACCATTACTGGAACATTTCAGGGAGGTTTATAAGAGGGTTCTTTGTTAGGGATTCTGGTAGTTATTAGGGAGATCAGAATCTGTTAGAGATTAAGTGTTTGTTAGGAAAATTTATCTTTATCGGGGAGTGTTGTTTTGTTAAGATTACGGATTCTAGTCTTAGTAAGGATGTCCAAATCTTTGTAAGGGGGGTCTAGTCTATGTTAGGGAGTCCTAGACTTTGTTAGGGAGTCCTAGTCTATGTTAGGGAGTCCTAGTTTTTGTTAGGGAGTCCTAGTCTATGTTAGGGAGACCTAGTCTATGTTAGGGGTCCTAGTCTATGTTAGGGAGTCCAAGTCTACGTTAGGGAGTCCTAGTCTTTGTTAGGGAGTCCTAGTCTATGTTAGGGAGTCCTAGTTTTTGTTAGGGAGTCCTAGTCTATGTTAGGGAGACCTAGTCTATCTTAGGGGTCCTAGTCTATGTTAGGGAGTCCAAGTCTACGTTAGGGAGTCCTAGTCTATGTTAGGGAGTCCTTGCCTTTGTTATGAAGTCTTTCCCTCAAGTCTATTTATCTATTTGTACAGTTTCGAGATGTATGTGATATCAACTGACATACAAAATAAAAGTATGTATAAATATACATGTAAACTATTGCTATTTTATCACTTTTCTTGTAGTTACTTTCGTCAAATATTGTAACAAAAACACACACACACATGCGCAGTTGTTAACAGCAAAAATATCACATGAACCAGATATAGACCTTGAATAGAATTGAACAATTAAATTTAATCGATAATATGCCAATAGTTGACTCAGAGACTTCAGACAAAGATGGCGCCGTGCCAATAACCATGCCACCTCGAGGACACGTACTTGTACGTGATACAATTTTAAACGTCCTATTCAGTAAAAGAAAAATTTTCCCAGTATTTGTTCAGATCTAACAATTGTCACACATTCAATAGTTGTTTATCAGCGATAATTAGGCACCAGTTTCAATCAAATCCCTTTGTGAACAAAATTTGTTTTATAAAGCATAGTTATCAATGGTGATGGAGGTATATTGAAAACAAAATTGTCTTTCTTTTTAAAAAAAATCAGTAATCGATTATCTGTAGTTTATTCATTCAATATCCAGATCAATACGTATTAACGATAAACATTTAGTGTTTGGTCTTACCTTATACAACGTGTTGTTGAAAGTTACTTTTCCTTGCGTAGATTTCGATAAAACTGATTTGATGTTGAAAAAATACCAATATATAATGACCAACGTCATAGTGAACACGTGACCAGGTATGTATATATATATGTGTATATATATTATACTATCATACGTATCTTTATTTTGTAAATAGTCAGGTTGTAAACAAACCGGTGCTTGTTGTGGCGACGGTGGGCGGGACACGTGGAACACCGACCTATCACACCAGGTGTATGCACAAATCTCATGATAATTTACATATTATTGGAGGCCATAAATACGAAATGTACAGCTATCATCATATAGAAAAATATATATACCTATTTTCAATTCCACATTCTCTCGTTAACACTTATATAATCAGTTGACAACATGTTAATGAGTACTCGATTTCCACGTACGTAGCGATATCTAAAGCTACTAAGGCTTTGATGATAAATACCCCGCGGCCTCCTGAACAATGACACCCCTTCATGAATATATTCATGAGTCGTCTTTGTCGTGCCAAACCTGGTATTAGAGCCTTAGTCATTCCTAGATACATAATATTGATCTAACACGGATGACTGGGCACGGAAATCAATCTATAGATTAGGTCAACTGAGGTGACAGGTCATAGGTCGAACACCAAATTTACATGCTATTCGCTACACGCACCTGAAAGATTCAGAATGATATTAAGGTATTTGTACGGGTACTTAAGATATTAACACATAAACAATCCCCTCGAAAGTGTACAATATATCAATGTCTATGCAACAAAACCAAAAATACCTCACGTGATCAGATCCAGCTTCAGAACACCTGTATAATACAAATGTTATACATACCTGTATCACTGATTTCAGGTGACTTCATAAATTGTCTGCGATAGGTAGAATCTACAGATATAAATATTTGTCGAGACAATAAACATGGAGATCGACGGAGAGAGCGTGCACACACACACATACCACAGTACGCTTTACTAGACATGTTTAGACCTGTATATAGATAAGTATATAGAGAGTGTTCGTGTTACCTGTAAAATCGATACAGGTCTAGATTATTATCACAGAAAATGTTTCTCTGTATATATCAATGGAGGGTTTGTTAAATACGTATCAAAACAGATCATATAACAGTAAAAACACGGACCAGGAAAAAAAAACGGCTCCAATTTTTTAGTTGTCTCCCTTGAATCGGATATATTCGACCGTTAGAAGAAATACAGAACAATACGTTCAGACGTTTTGATCTTTGTACAAAATTACAAAAATAAATCCTTAACATGTTCTGCTGAAACATGCTTTTAACATCCACAAAACAGTTGTATTCCGCCCAACGTACCCACGTGCAGGAGGAAAAACCAAAAAGCAGAATGACATATAATGATCGTACCATGCAAAATGATAAAAGTAAAAGTCACAGTAATATGTAGAAACAAGAGCAGGACAGGAACTACAGTTGTTATCTTAATACTTTTTTTTTTGAAAAGAGGTTCAGAAAGGTTAAGTTTTGGGTAACAAAATATATTAAAAATAATAAGTATAAGGTACAATTTCAATATATTTGTATTGTATAATGTAATGTGAATTTTATAATGTCACATATCACAGAGAGTGTAACAATTTCACCACGGAAGTATTCAGGAAGTCAGGAGAAATAAGAATATCGAATCATTGCAACCGTGTCAACTGTATCATTGTAAAGCACTCTTAGATAATTACCTGGTATATCAAAATGGAGATCTAAGATATCAATTCAGACGATCAAGAAATTAATATTATATTAATTACCCCATATAGACACTACTGTTATGTTAATTACCACACACAGAAACTACTGTTATATTAATTACCACACACAGAAACTACTGTTATATTAATTACCACACACAGACAATACTGTTATATTAATTATCACACACTGACACTACTGTTATATTAATTACCACACACAGACACTACTGTTATATTAATTACCCCACACAGACTCTACTGTTATATTAATTACCACACACATACACTACTGTTATATCAATTACCACGCACAGACACTGCTGTTATATTAATTACCCCATACAGACACTGCCCCATACAGACACTGCCCCATACAGACACTACTGTTATATTAATTACCACACACAGAAACTACTGTTATATTAATTACCACACACAGACAATACTGTTATATTAATTATCACACACTGACACTACTGTTATATTAATTACCACACACAGACTCTACTGTTATATTAATTACCCCACACAGACTCTACTGTTATATTAATTACCACACACAGACACTACTGTTATATTAATTACCACACACAGACACTACTGTTCTATCAATTACCACGCACAGACACTGCTGTTATATTAATTACCCCACACAGACACTACTGTTATATTAATTACCACACACAGACACTGCCCCATACAGACACTACTGTTATATTAATTACCACACAGACACTACTGTTATATTAATTACCCCATACAGACACTGCCCCATACAGACACTGCCCCATACAGACACTACTGTTAGATTAATTACCACACACAGACACTACTGTTATACTAATTACCACACACAGACACTACTGTTATATCAATTACCACACACAGACACTACTATTATATTAATTACCACGCACAGACACTGCTGTTATATTAATTACCCCACACAGACACTACTGTTATATTGATTACCCCATACAGACACTGCCCCATACAGACACTACTGGTATATTAATTACCACACACAGACGGTACTTATATATTAATTACAACACACAGACACTACTGTTATATTAATTACTCCACACAGACTCTCTCTCTCTCTCTCTCTCTCTCTCTCTCTCTCTCTCTCTCTCTCTCTCTCTCTCTCTCTCTCTCTCTCTCTCTCTCTCTCTCTCTCTCTCTCTCTCTCTCTCTCTCTCTCTCTCTCTCTCTCTCTCCCCATATCAAGGCTATGTCCCAATTTGTTGCTCTTTATCGGTTGTTGCTGTTGATAAATTACTCATTTGACCTTTAAAACGACTCTACCCTAATTAGGTCGCCTTCTGTCTAATGCGCTTACGAATAAGTATCATATCTATAGACTTTTTATTATTCCGAAGTTGAAAATATCAATTATTATCATCATGAAAGGCATTTCTGATACACGTATTTAAGTATTTAATATGAACACTATTGAATTTTTTCGGGTATGATAAAGTGATCTTACTAAGTGCGTCAAGATTACTAACTTGATCACACATGTACTTTTGTGCCCTAACTATCATGACCCTTTGACTCTCGGTTATCTACAAGACATTTAAAGAATGAACAATTATACCTTTGGAATGTCGGTATAATCTACCGGTATCTTCGCCAGGGTATTAGCGCGTGCTCACAGTCCATTTCTAAATGCTGATTTTTAAAAACGGAAATTCTTTAAATGTTAGTATAAACAACGAAACGATAAATGTTTAAACCGTACTAATGATCCTATATATAATGTACGTTGTACCAGGCAGTCTATTATCCCCACCAAAACTTGTTATACTTATATATAGTTAGGTACACAGTAGTATGTATATTATCTGTTGGTATTTTCGACAGTAAGTTTATTTACCGAACACTTATGTTTAGTCTGCGGTTTGTTTAGACACTAGTGACAAGGTCTGTATCGTCTCTAACTAGAAAACAGATCTACACTGTAATTATATACATCCCGGAGTTTTATATCTCACCACGATCCTTGACCAGTACTCTCGGAGATTTAAACGGGAAAAATTTCCATTACGATAGGATCTTATCAGGAAAACTACTTCTTGTTGTCTGGTCGGAATTTTACAGGATAACAATTCCGGCTGGTCTAGTCGGATCTTTACAGGATTACAATTCCGGCTGGTCTAGTCGGATCTTTACAGGATAACTATTCCGGCTGGTCTAGTCGGATCTTTACAGGATATTAATTCCGGCTGGTCTAGTCGGATCTTTACAGGATAACTATTCCGGCTGGTCTTGTCGGATCTATACAGGATAACTATTCCGGCTGGTCTAGTCGGATCTTTACAGGATAACAATTCCGGCTGGTCTAGTCGGATCTTTACAGGACAACTATTCCGGCTGGTCTAGTCGGATCTTTACAGGATAACAATTCCGGCTGGTCTAGTCGGATCTTTACAGGATAACTATTCCGGCTGGTCTTGTCGGATCTATACAGGATAACTATTCCGGCTGGTCTAGTCGGATCTTTACAGGATAACAATTCCGGCTGGTCTAGTCGGATCTTTACAGGATAACAATTCCGGCTGGTCTAGTCGGATCTTTACAGGATAACTATTCCGGCTGGTCTTGTCGGATCTATACAGGATAACTATTCCGGCTGGTCTAGTCGGATCTTTACAGGATAACAATTCCGGCTGGTCTAGTCGGATCTTTACAGGATAACTATTCCGGCTGGTCTAGTCGGATCTTTACAGGATAACAATTCCGGCTGGTCTAGTCGGATCTTTACAGGATAACTATTCCGGCTGGTCTAGTCGGATCTATACAGGATAACTATTCCGGCTGGTCTAGTCGGATCTTTACAGGATAACAATTCCGGCTGGTCTAGTCGGATCTTTACAGGATAACTATTCCGGCTGGTCTTGTCGGATCTATACAGGATAACTATTCCGGCTGGTCTAGTCGGATCTTTACAGGATAACAATTCCGGCTGGTCTAGTCGGATCTTTACAGGATAACTATTCCGGCTGGTCTAGTCGGATCTTTACAGGATAACTATTCCGGCTGGTCTTGTCGGATCTATACAGGATAACTAATCCGCCTGGTTTAGACTTTGGTGTTCCAGGACGTGTAGGTTTTGGCTGGCGTAAAACCGTCGACTTGTCAGTTGGATTAATTGTTTACTGGCTATATAATCCTCAGCTGTATTAACTAGTTTACTTCTTCACCAATGACCCTGCTATGCACCTTAGCTGTACATGTACGCCTGTGACGATTCTTTTTCGTTATTTATGGATTTCATAACTAAAAATATGTGATGGGCTACATTGATGTGTTTTCAAAGAGGATAAGGAAAACGTTTTTTTTTTTCCTTCGTTAGAATCGATGTGTATCAGTTCTGAAATATTCACACACGTTCGTTTTTGTGAATGAACGAGATTAAAAATGTCGACTTCCAGACCGATGGATTCTTCTCGCCATTACCCGGAAAATTCCGGATCTCTCCCTGGGGCTCGCCTCGTTACAGATACGTACCTAGGAGTGCCCCGGACCATGACTGTCTCGTCTTCTCCGAATTCAACAATGCGAGACGGCTTTGTTGTTACCAAGCAGCCGACCAAATCGAAAAACAAAAGTTTCGGACAGACAAACGAATCGAGGTTTATGAAAGAGAGCAATGTAGACAGTGGGTTAACTATCCTCCCTTGGGAGGATTTTATCTACGATCCCCGGGTCCTCAATGACTTATTTCACCTGGAAACAGACGGGGTCATTACCTATGACCCCGAGGAGGTCAATGTCTTTTTTCACGCTACTAGGATGATGAAGCCAACGTTTGGTGATGTGTCGGAAAATGGAAAGTCATGGTAATATAGCCAGATAACAAATAACATACAGTCTAATGTTTACTGTCACTTTTTAGGTTACTGAGTAACTGCACTTTATCGAATTGTCCACACATGAAAGCTAAGTCAGATTCTTGTCGAAGAAGAATATAGAATTGTTTTATTAACTGTATAATCATACCATCGTAATTAATTGTTTTCCGGTGTGAGACGAAGCTGCATATGTTCCGTGCTTGTTAAAGTAGTATACGAGCTGGTTTTACTAACCCGGTTCTACTTTTGAGAACTTGACATTATTAGGATTGACCATAACTTGGAGTCTTATTTCTTTTTCGGTTTTTCATTAGTCATCGCGTAAATCTTACCTAAGTTTTATCAATATTAAGTTTAAATTACGGTTATGTGAACGTATAAGTATTATGCTGTTGTTTTGTTTGGTAAAAATGCACAGAGGTTCTATACAGTATCATCGGCTTGTTAATCCAAGTTGGCCGCGATAGCCAAGTCGGAAAGACGGTTGCCTACATATTCTCTGGTGAAAAGCAGAGGTGCATGATTTGACAATTCCTACCAGTGGGGGATGTTTTCTCGGAAAGCTGAGAAACGCTTGCCTTGGATAAGACACTCTATCCTTATTTCTCTGGAAGGCATGTGGCAGGCCTCCCGTATGTTGTTCAGTAAGTCACCAGCTTCTACATGGAGGACGACTCAAAATGACATTGGCTGTTCAGGGGCCTATAGATCCAGCAAACAAAACATGTCAGGTCGTTCAGTACTCAGTAAACCAATGTTTGTAACTAATATCATTATATCATACTTCGTTGACGCCTAACGATAATCATAATTTATTTTTCCCACTAAAGACATTTAAAGTTATGTTTCAATTTTAGCGATTTCCATTGCAGGGTATTAACCGTCGAGAACGTCATGGAGATGGAAAGGGTACGGCAATGGTTAACCGAGAGAGTTTCTGTATTTGGTGTCACGCTCGTCAAAAAGGAGGGAAAGTTTGGGAGGAGTCAGAGGGGTATGGTCATCACACGTCTCAGATACTGTGATAATCTCTAGTATAAACTTCAGTGAACTTGGGCGTGGAATGAAGCCTTGATTAAGAAAAACGCTGACAAGTAGAAAACCTTGTGTGATCTTTAATGTTTATAATCAGGTTAAATTCTCAAGTAGACGACGTAATACAACTACACGGATTAAAATCCTAAGTGCATACATAAAAGCTATGCTTCAGACGACATGACAGGTGCCAACATTCCATTATAAAGCTTTATATCTCCACTGTTTCTGACACGACTAAGATCTCGTCAAAAATGCTGGAAATCATCGTTCTCTGTAATAAGATTAACTGGAATTTAAACGGAATTTCTTAACATTCTCTCTAAGACTGGTTTTCAAGTAATCAAGCATCAGAAATCTCCCTAGTTCACAGGAAATAAAACAGATACTTTCCTCCATACAGCGTCATTTCTGACAGTATTCTCCGAAACCTTCCTCCTTACAGCGTCATGTCTGACAGTATTCTCAAACACCTTCCTCCTTACAGCGTCATGTCTGACAGTATTCTCCGACACCTTCCTCCTTACAGCGTCATGTCTGACAGTATTCTCAAACACCTTCCTCCTTACAGCGTCATGTCTGACAGTATTCTCAAACACCTTCCTCCTTACAGCGTCATGTCTGACAGTATTCTCCGAAACCTTCCTCCTTACAGCGTCATGTCTGACAGTATTCTCCGAAACCTTCCTCCTTACAGCGTCATGTCTGACAGTATTCTCCGAAACCTTCCTCCTTACAGCGTCATGTCTGACAGTATTCTCAAACACCTTCCTCCTTACAGCGTCATGTCTGACAGTATTCTCCAAAACCTTCCTCCTTACAGCGTCATGTCTGACAGTATTCTCCGAAACCTTCCTCCTTACAGCGTCATGTCTGACAGTATTCTCCGAAACCTTCCTCCTTACAGCGTCATGTCTGACAGTATTCTCAAACACCATCCTCCTTACAGCGTCATGTCTGACAGTATTCTCCGAAACCTTCCTCCTTACAGCGTCATGTCTGACAGTATTCTCCGAAACCTTCCTCCTTACAGCGTCATGTCTGACAGTATTCTCAAACACCTTCCTCCTTACAGCGTCATGTCTGACAGTATTCTCCGAAACCTTCCTCCTTACAGCGTCATGTCTGACAGTATTCTCCAAAACCTTCCTCCTTACAGCGTCATGTCTGACAGTATTCTCCGAAACCTTCCTCCTTACAGCGTCATGTCTGACAGTATTCTCCAGTAAAACCTTCCTCCTTACAGCGTCATGTCTGACAGTATTCTCCAAACACCTTCCTCCTTACAGCGTCATGTCTGACAGTATTCTCAGAACACCTTCCTCCTTACAGCGTCATGTCTGACAGTATTCTCACAAACCTTCCTCCTTACAGCGTCATGTCTGACAGTATTCTCAAACACCTTCCTCCTTACAGCGTCATGTCTGACAGTATTCTCAGCGTCATGTCTGACAGTATTCTCAAACACCTTCCTCCTTCACAGCGACACACCTTCCTCCTTACAGCGTCATGTCTGACAGTATTCTCAAACACCTTCCTCCTTACAGCGTCATGTCTGACAGTATTCTCAAACACCTTCCTCCTTACAGCGTCATGTCTGACAGTATTCTCCGACACCTTCCTCCTTACAGCGTCATGTCTGACAGTATTCTCCGAAACCTTCCTCCTTACAGCGTCATGTCTGACAGTATTCTCAAACACCTTCCTCCTTACAGCGTCATGTCTGACAGTATTCTCAAACACCTTCCTCCTTACAGCGTCATGTCTGACAGTATTCTCAAACACCTTCCTCCTTACAGCGTCATGTCTGACAGTATTCTCAAACACCTTCCTCCTTACAGCGTCATGTCTGACAGTATTCTCCGAAACCTTCCTCCTTACAGCGTCATGTCTGACAGTATTCTCCGAAACCTTCCTCCTTACAGCGTCATGTCTGACAGTATGCTCCAAAACCTTCCTCCTTACAGCGTCATGTCTGACAGTATTCTCCGAAACCTTCCTCCTTACAGCGTCATGTCTGACAGTATTCTCCGACACCTTCCTCCTTACAGCGTCATGTCTGACAGTATTCTCCAAAACCTTCCTCCTTACAGCGTCATGTCTGACAGTATTCTCAAACACCTTCCTCCTTACAGCGTCATGTCTGACAGTATTCTCCGAAACCTTCCTCCTTACAGCGTCATGTCTGACAGTATTCTACCTTCCTCCTTACAGCGTCATGTCTGACAGTATTCTCGAAACCTTCCTCCTTACAGCGTCATGTCTGAGGGAAAACCTTCCTCCTTACAGCGTCATGTCTGACAGTATTCTCAGACACCTTCCTCCTTACAGCGTCATGTCTGACAGTATTCTCCAAAACCTTCCTCCTTACAGCGTCATGTCTGACAGTATTCTCAGAAACCTTCCTCCTTACAGCGTCATGTCTGACAGTATTCTCAAACACCTTCCTCCTTACAGCGTCATGTCTGTATTCTCCGACACCTTCCTCCTTACAGCGTATTCTGACCAAAACCTTCCTCCTTACAGCGTCATGTCTGACAGTATTCTTACCAAAACCTTCCTCCTTACAGCGTCATGTCTGACAGTATACAGCGCTCCAAGTATTCTCAGACGACAACCTTCCTCCTTACAGCGTCATGTCTGACAGTATTCTACAAAACCTTCCTCTTACTCTACAGCGTCATGTCTGACAGTATTCTCCGACACCTTCCTCCTTACAGCGTGACATGTCTCAAACACCTTCCTCCTTACAGTCATGCTCCAAAACCTTCCTCCTTACAGCGTCATGTCTGACAGTATTCTCAAACACCTTCCTCCTTACAGCGTCATGTCTGACAGTATTCTCCGAAACCTTCCTCCTTACAGCGTCATGTCTGACATTATTCTCATATATTTTCCTCCTTACAGTATTAACAATATTCCGCGGATATTCTCCTACTTTTAGCCTCAATTATTCCTCATTACAGCCCCGTGCCTGATAGTATTTGACCCAGGGAAGGGAAATGTACGGGACCAGTTGTACCACGCCTTCGTCAAGTCCGTCAGCGCCATGGACCATGGCAGGAAATGCTGTATAGAAGTAGGTTTATAACAGTATTTGATACAGATAGTGTTCTATCATTTTTGCTTTATTTCTTTGTACTAGTCTCCGATAAACAGCAGAGAATAACACAATGAAAACATTTATCTTATCCCATAGATGAATCTCAATGGGTGCGTAGAAAACTGGTGTACACGTGTGACAGGTGCTAAATGTAAGGCTGTCGGCGCCAAACTCATCATTACTGACGGAGAGGAGCGGGACAACTTCCTGTCCGCTGAAAACATTATCTGTTGTGTCCTCTGTTTACCAGTATGGGCAATCCAGACGACAATTCTACAGGTAATGTACAGGTCATACAGACGACAATTCTACAGGTAACGTACAGGTTATACAGACGACAATTCTACAGGTAATGTACAGGTTATACAGACGACAATTCTACAGGTAATGTAAGGTCATAAAGACGATAATTCTACAGGTAATGTATCGGTCATACAAACGATAATTCTACAGGTAATGTACAGGTCATACAGACGACAATTCTACAGGTAATGTACAGGTCATACAGACAATTCTACAGGTAATGTACAGGTCATACAGACGACAATTCTACAGGTAATGTATCGGTCATACAGGCGACAATTCTACAGGTAATGTACAGGTCATACAGACGACAATTCTACAGGTAATGTAAAGGTCATACAGACATTTCTACAGGTAATGTACAGGTTATACAGACAATTCTACAGGTAATGTACAGGTTATACAGACGACAATTCTACAGGTAATGTACAGGTCATACAGACGACAATTCTACATGTAATGTACAGGTCATACAGACGACAATTCTACATGTAATGTACAGGTCATACAGACGACAATTCTACAGGTTATGTACAGGTCATACAGACGACAATTCTACATGTAATGTACAGGTCATACAGACAATTCTACATGTAATGTACAGGTCATACAGACGACAATTCTACAGGTAATGTACAGGTCATACAGACGACAACTCTACAGGTAATGTATCGGTCATACAGACGACAATTCTACAGGTAATGTACAGGTCATACAGACGACAATTCGACAGGTAATGTACAGGTCATACAGACGACAATTTTACAGGTAACGTACAGGTTATACAGACGACAATTCTACAGGTAATGTACAGGTCATACAGACGACAATTCTATAGGTAATGTATCGGTCATACAGATGACAATTCTACAGGTAATGTACAGGTCATACAGACGACAATTCTACAGGTAATGTAAAGGTCATACAGACATTTCTACAGGTAATGTACAGGTTATACAGACAATTCTACAGGTAATGTACAGGTTATACAGACGACAATTCTACAGGTAATGTACAGGTCATACAGACGACAATTCTACAGGTAATGTACAGGTCATACAGACGACAATTCTACATGTAATGTACAGGTCATACAGACGACAATTCTACAGGTAATGTACAGGTCATACAGACGACAATTCTACAGTTAATGTACAGGTCATACAGACGACAATTCTACAGGTAATGTACAGGTCATACAGACGACAATTCTACAGGTAACGTACAGGTTATACAGACGACAATTCTACAGGTAATGTACAGGTCATACAGACGACAATTCTATAGGTAATGTATCGGTCATACAGATGACAATTCTACAGGTAATGTACAGGTCATACAGACGACAATTCTACAGGTAATGTACATGTCTTACAGACGACAATTCTACAGTTAATGTACAGGTTATACAGACAATTCTACAGGTAATGTACAGGTCATACAGACGACAATTCTACAGGTAATGTACAGGTCATACAGACGACAATTCTACATGTAATGTACAGGTCATACAGACGACAATTCTACATGTAATGTACAGGTCATACAGACGACAATTCTACAGGTAATGTACAGGTCATACAGACGACAATTCTACATGTAATGTACAGGTCATACAGACAATTCTACAGGTAATGTACAGGTCATACAGACGACAATTCTACAGGTAATGTAGATGTCATACAGACGACAATTCTACAGGTAATGTACAGGTCATACAGACGACAATTCTACAGGTAATGTACAGGTTATACAGACGACAATTCTACAGGTAATGTACATGTCATACAGACGACAACTCTACAGATAATGTACAGGTCATACAGACGACATTTCTACAGGTAATGTACAGGTCATGCAGACGACAATTATATAGGTAATGTACAGGTTATACAGACAATTCTACAGGTAATGTACAGGCCATACAGACGACAATTCTACAGGTAATGTACAGGTCATACAGACGACAATTCTACAGGTAATGTACAGGTCATACAGACAATTCTACAGGTAATGTACAGGTCATACAGACGACAATTCTACAGGTAATGTACAGGTCATACAGACGACAATTCTACAGGTAATGTACAGGTCATACAGACGATAATTCTACAGGTAATGTACAGGTTATACAGACAATTCTACAGGTAATGTACAGGTTATACAGACGACAATTCTACAGGTAATGTACAGGTCATACAGACGACAATTCTACATGTAATGTACAGGTCATACAGACAATTCTAGAGGTAATGTACAGGTCATACAGACGACAATTCTACAGGTAATGTACAGGTCATACAGACGACAATTCTACATGTAATGTACAGGTCATACAGACAATTCTAGAGGTAATGTACAGGTCATACAGACGACAATTCTACAGGTAATGTACAGGTCATACAGACGACAATTCTACAGGTAACGTACAGGTTATACAGACGACAATTCTACAGGTAATGTACATGTCATACAGACGACAACTCTACAGATAATGTACAGGTCATACAGACGACATTTCTACAGGTTATGAACAGGTCATGCAGACGACAATTCTACAGGTAATGTACAGGTTATACAGACAATTCTACAGGTAATGTACTGGCCATACAGACGACAATTCTACAGGTATTGTACCGGTCATACAGACGACAATTCTACAGGTAATGTATCGGTTATACAGACGATAATTCTGCAGGTAATGTATCGGTCATACAGACGACAATTCTACAGGTAATGTACAGGTCATATAGACGATAATTCTACAGGTAATGTACAGGTCATACAGACGACAACTCTACAGGTAATGTACATGTCATACAGACGACAATTCTGCAGGTAATGTACAGGTCATACAGACGACAATTCTACAGGTAATGTTCAGGTCATGCAGACGACAATGATACAGGTAATGTACAGGTCATACAGACGACAATGATACAGGTAATGTACAGGTCATACAGACGACAATTCTACAGGTAATGTACATGTCTTACAGACGACAATTCTACAGTTAATGTACAGGTCATACAGACGACAATTCTACAGGTAACGTACAGGTTATACAGACGACAATTCTACAGGTAATGTACAGGTTATACAGACGACAATTCTACAGGTAATGTAACTGTCATACAAACGATAATTCTACAGGAAATTCAGATGTCATACAGACGACAATTCTACAGGTAATGTACAGGTTATACAGACAATTCTACAGGTAATGTACAGGTCATACAAACGACAATTCTACAGGTAATGTATCGGTCATACAGGCGACAATTCTACAGGTAATGTACAGGTCATACAGACGACAATTCTACATGTAATGTACAGGTCATACAGACGACAATTCTATATGTAATGTACAGGTCATACAGACGACAATTCTACATGTAATGTACAGGTCATATAGACGACAATTCTACATGTAATGTACAGGTCATACAGACAATTCTACAGGTAATGTACAGGTCATAGAGACGACAACTCTACAGGTAATGTATCGGTCATACAGACGACAATTCTACAGGTAATGTACAGGTCATACAGACGACAATTCGACAGGTAATGTACAGGTCATACAGACGACAATTCTACAGGTAACGTACAGGTTATACAGACGACAATTCTACAGGTAATGTACATGTCATACAGACGACAATTCTACAGGTAATGTACAAGTCATACAGACGACAACTCTACATATAATGTACAGGTCATACAGACGACATTTCTACAGGTAATGTACAGGTCATACAGACGACAATGATACAGGTAATGTACAGGTCATACAGACGACAATTCTATATGTAATGTACAGGTCATACAGACGACAATTCTACATGTAATGTACAGGTCATATAGACGACAATTCTACATGTAATGTACAGGTCATACAGACAATTCTACAGGTAATGTACAGGTCATAGAGACGACAACTCTACAGGTAATGTATCGGTCATACAGACGACAATTCTACAGGTAATGTACAGGTCATACAGACGACAATTCGACAGGTAATGTACAGGTCATACAGACGACAATTCTACAGGTAACGTACAGGTTATACAGACGACAATTCTACAGGTAATGTACATGTCATACAGACGACAATTCTACAGGTAATGTACAAGTCATACAGACGACAACTCTACATATAATGTACAGGTCATACAGACGACATTTCTACAGGTAATGTACAGGTCATACAGACGACAATTCTACAGGTAATGTAACTGTCATACAGACGACAGTTCTACAGGTAATGTACAGGTCATACAGACGACAATTCGACAGGTAATGTACAGGTCATACAGACGACAATTCTACAGGTAACGTACAGGTTATACAGACGGCAATTCTACAGGTAATGTACAGGTCATACGTGTGATGTTTTGGAAATACAGGCCGGGAACAATCCTTTATTTTGTGATATATTGTGCCTTCCTTTCCATATAAGTTTACACTTGTCTTTTTTTTTTTGTTCCATTTGAAATTGTTATCTATACTTATAACTTATTCTGCTCTACGTGTTTCTACACAGGCGCACCGACATTTCCAGTACCTGGACTACAGCCTAGATCTGAGTTTGGAGGAACTGAGGCTACATGGCTCTATGGGAGGCGCTGCAAGTCAACGCGAGAAATTATTCGCAGGTAAACACGCCACATTGCCTTCTTTTCACTTCTGTTTATACCAATATAAATCCAATATCTTATTTTCTAATTGTTGCGTGTAACAGCCTATGACAATTCCAAAGTTTATGTTTGCTTGCATCGTGGGTGGTCCATTTTCAACATTGAAACGATGCATTCTTTATGAACTAAAGAATATAACGTTGAGTTTGATCAAATACATACATGCAAAGTAAGGTGATAACGATTGTTTCAATGTGTCTTTATACCGGATCTACACCACTAATGAATACAGACATCAGTCAAATAAGATCTTGATCAAGTGAAAATACAGGATTATTTAAGGAACTGTCTCTATACAATGATAAAATTCTCCAAATCCAGATCTGTTCTCTTTCTTTACAGAAAACAAACGAACCGGAGTGTTCCGAACGAAACCGTCAGAGGCAGGTGTGGCGTCCCTGGACCCTAGACGCAAGGAAGAACTGGACGGCCATAAGTATATCTGTATTAAAAAATACGATAAAAAGGACAATAAACCGATGGAGGAAACCATTGACGAGCATGAAACGACAACTCTACAAAATTTACTCGCACATATAGCGAAAAGTAAACAGAAAAACGAAGGAGGCGACAACAACGTGTGCGCTGGCTCTGTAGACACGTCTTACGAAGTTGTCGACAATCTGACGGATGATGTGAAGGCGCAGACTGCAACGAGTAAGGCCAATGACAAGGTTGGTCTGCTTCAAGCCAACGTCCAAGTTCACCGGCATGGTCCTAGGAAGTCGTCACAGGTAAAGGAACATGACGACGAAAGTGATATAATGGATAATGATGAGCGAAAAGAAATAGATAAACTGAAAATGATGAAACCTAAAGGTGTTAAGAATGCCGAGAATGAACAGCGAGTGAATTGGGACCAGGTCAAAGACGTATTGAATGAGCGAATACGTACAGCAACACTGGATACTTTTACCGAAACACGAAATAACCACGAGTACGGAAACGGAATGGAAACATTACTTCTGAAAGGTTATTCCAGACACAAAGAGGTAGAGGAAGAGGATGAAACTTCAAAAACACCCAAGGCAAAGAATGTTAAAAAGAAGCCGAAAAGACGGTCTTCAAGTGTACATAAATGCAGACCTAACATACAAAATGGGGATTATCAGCCCCGAAACACTCCTAATTCAGAAAGACCCGTAAGTAGGAAAGGATATGTAAACCGAAACCTCGACTCATCTAATGAAAGTGTTGAAAGATACAAGACAGAGGACATCACATGTCTGCCAGAAACACAGGAAGTCGATACATATACACAGGAGGTACGTTCAAGACGTCGGAAACAGTCGAAACAATTGACAAAATTCTCGGAATCTTCTGGAGATGAGAGCGAAGAGGAGTTCACGGAATACTTACGGGATGCTACCATTCTCAGAAACATTGACCAGGAACGACTGTTCACAGAGCGCCATTATCCTAACCAATTAAAAGGTACGATGACTGAACAGGTACAGACAACTCCCAAGCCGTACCTGTTACCGGAAGAGGACGAGTTCGACGGTAAAACGAGTAGCATCATTCCTGTGGGAAAGACGGATCGCACATGTCTTATAGACAATACCGATGATAATTTTGACGACATGCAAACAAATGGAGCTGAGGGCGACATTGAACTGACTGATTGTGAACTGGATGATGATGACGAAGATGACGATGAAGATGGAAATGCACAAGAGCAATTGGATGCCACGCAGAAGAAGAAGGTACCACAAGCAGTACTTGACCGCAGTAAGAGGCCCAGTAGGTACGACTCGACGAGAAAGTATCTTGGAATCCGAACCCCGCGACGTAATCAGCGACCCATGACGACCGATACAGTTCAGCACCAGGCTGTTTACGAAATGGAGCTTATGTGATGGAAATTTCACGATCCTGTACATTTCTCAATTTGTAGTCGGTACAAAGTGTCGGATATAGAAAAAATGTACGCAACTTTAATTAGTGACTTGCGATCAGTTTTCAACGAAATGATGTTAATTATTTCATAGGTTTGTTATTTCACAAAATGATGACACTCTTTGTTACCGCCATACTGAGCAAAAACAAAAATAAAACCTCGTCAAATTAATGTATTTATACGTGTTAGGGAAACTGTATTAGACAATGCACTTTACTTCGCATGGTTAAGTTGACGAAGCATTACATTAATACAGAAAAAGTCGTATAAAATGGTGTACAATCATTCAAGAGAAGATTTTGCTGAAATAGAATTGAAATTCGGTAATGATAGAAATGAAAGCTGAATCGAAGCATTTTTCTGAGATGTTACGGTGTATCAAACGCAAAGGAATTTCTGTGGTGTGATTGTACAATATTTTACTGTATAAAAACCAAGTAAAAATGCTGCTCAACAGTAAAGTCCCTAACTTAGCGATCAACCCACCTTTGTCATGTCTCTATTGATAGTCTTGGTTTTGTTTTAATCAATTTGTCACAATTTTATACGTGGAGTGTGTGCAAGATATTTTTAGAATGTTTTGGTGTTTTTACCTATTACCAGACAGTACCACTTTTGAATCCTGTTTATGATAGTGTCCTTATTGTCGTGTGTCCATGGTAACGGTTCACCAAGTGACGTTTGCCCTACACCACAGCCTTTCTTATTGACTCTTTGGTAGACTGAAAGTCAACAATATCATTATAAGTCTATACAAATCATTATCTCAAGTTTTTACAAACGGAGAATAAATATTACCAATTTGTGTATTTGTTGTTTGTATCTAGTCTTTGCCACGACGATGCTTTTTCTAGAGATACACGAGGGAACCTGGCGTTCACCGAAAGTGTCAAGGAAATGATTACAAAGCTCTTGATCGGCAAGATTCTGCTGAGTAGTATCATCTATGGTTAACGATACGACCCAGAGTAAACCTGTGAAACGGACAAATACTTGAGAGAACAGATCTTAAGAATTACAATTCTTCAGATAAAGAGATCTAAACAATACTGGAGAGAAATAGATCTTAACAATACTAGATAGAAATAGATCTTAACAATACTGGAGAGAAATAGATCTTAACAATACTGGACAGAAATAGATCTTTACAATACTGGAGAGAAATAGATCTTAACAATACTGGACAGAAATACTGGAGAGAAATAGATCTTAACAATACTAGACAGAAATAGATTTTAACAATACTGGACAGAAATACTGGAGAGAAATAGATCTTAACAATACTGGACAGAAATAGATCTTAACAATACTGGAGAGAAATAAATCTTAACAATACTGGACAGAAATAAATCTTTACAATACTGGACAGAAATAGATCTTAACAATACTGGAGAGAAATAGATCTTAACAATACTGGAGAGAAATAAATCTTTACAATACTGGAGAGAAATAGATCTTAACAATACTGGACAGAAATACTGGAGAGAAATAGATCTTAACAATACTGGACAGAAATAGATCTTAACAATACTGGAGAGAAAGATATATCCCGTACATAAGAACAATACAGTACTGTAGACCTTTCTGTTCTTGGGATGAACAGTCATTTCTAGTGCTTCAGAAAAAATGACCTTAACAGCAGTTCAGAGAAACACTGACCATCACAGCATCAAAGCAGTTACCTCTGTAACAGAGTAACAACTTTCATTGGAGACAACTTCTAAAGACTCTCAAAACCCCATCATTAAAAACGAAAAAACAGCTATTTAATTCAGAGATTTAATTTTTTTGTGTGTAAAATGGACATTCCAGTAATGACTGGCATTGCTCTTCCGCAGGATTGATTTTGAAAACTTGGTTTTTTTCTCCACCTTGTCAGGAGTCCTGTGAATGTTTCTTTCTTTTGTTCACATTTTCACCTATTTTTTTAAAATTTGGTATTAGACAATGATTTTGGATGACATGTTGGTATTATCTTGTCCCAGTAGGCTTTACTCAGAAGAAAGTAAGAGTTTGGTCTAGCAGGGACCATGTCTGGCTCAGCAGGAGAAAGAAAATCAATTCTACTCAAAAGTGAACAAGTATTTGACTCAGTAGGAATGAATACTAAAAAATAAGGAAGGAGACACGATTAAACTCCTTCACCAATGACTAAGTAAGGAGACACGATTAAACTCCTTCACCAATGACTAAGTAAGGAGACACGATTAAACTTCACCAATGGCTAAGTAAAGAGACACGATTAAACTCCTTCACCAATGACTAAGTAAGGAGACACGATTAAACTTCACCAATGGCTAAGTAAAGAGACACGATTAAACTCCTTCACCAATGACTAAACTCCTTCATAAGTAAGGAGACACGATTAAACTCCTTCACCAATGACTAAGTAAGGAGACACGATTCAACTCCTTCACCAATGACTAAGTAAAGAGACACGATTAAACTCCTTCACCAATGACTAAGTAAGGAGACACGAATAAACTCCTTCACCAATGACTAAGTAAGGAGACACGATTAAACTCCTTCACCAATGACTAAGTAAGGAGACACGATTAAACTTCACCAATGGCTAAGTAAAGAGACACGATTAAACAAACTCCTTCACCAATGACTAAGTAAGGAGACACGATTAAACTCCTTCACCAATGACTAAACTCCTTCACCAATGACTAAGTAAGGAGACACGATTAAACTCCTTCACCAATGACTAAGTAAGGAGACACGATTAAACTTCACCAATGACTTCACCAATGACTAAGTAAGGAGACACGATTAAACTTCACCAATGACTAAGTAAAGAGACACGATTAAACTCCTTCACCAATGACTAAGTAAGGAACTTCTTCACCAATGACTAAGTAAGGAGACACGATTAAACTCCTTCACCAATGACTAAGTAAGGAGACACGATTAAACTCCTTCACCAATGACTAAGTAAGGAGACACGATTAAACTCCTTCACCAATGACTAAGTAAGGAGACACGATTAAACTCCTTCACCAATGACTAAGTAAGGAGACACGATTAAACTTCACCATTGACTAAGTAAGGAGACACGATTAAACTCCTTCACCAATGACTAAGTAAGGAGACACGATTAAACTCCTTCACCAATGACTAAGTAAGGAGACACAATTAAACTCCTTCACCAATGACTACGTAAGGAGACACGAATAAACTCCTTCACCAATGACTAAACTCCTTCACCAATGACTAAGTAAGGAGACACGATTAAGGAGAACTCCTTCACCAATGACTAAGTAAAGAGACACGATTAAACTCCTTCACCAATGACTAAGTAAGAGAGACACGATTAAACTCCTTCACCAATGACTAAGTAAGGAGACACGATTAAACTCCTTCACCTAAGACTTCACCAATGACTAAGTAAGGAGACACGATTAAACTTCACCAATGACTAAGAGACACGATTAAACTCCTTCACCAATGACTAAGTAAGGAGACACGATTAAACTCCTTCACCAATGACTAAGTAAGGAGACACGATTAAACTCCTTCACCAATGACTAAGTAAGGAGACACGATTAAACTTCACCAATGGCTAAGTAAAGAGACACGATTAAACTCCTTCACCAATGACTAAGTAAGGAGACACGATTAAACTCCTTCACCAATGACTAAGTAAGGAGACACGATTAAACTCCTTCACCAATGACTAAGTAATGAGACACGATTAAACTCCTTCACCAATGACTAAGTAAGGAGACACGATTAAACTCCTTCACCAATGACTAAGTAAGGAGACACGATTAAACTCCTTCACCAATGACTAAGTAAGGAGACACGATTCAACTCCTTCACCAATGACTAAGTAAAGAGACACGATTAAACTCCTTCACCAATGACTAAGTAAGGAGACACGATTAAACTTCACCAATGGCTAAGTAAAGAGACACGATTAAACTCCTTCACCAATGACTAAGTAAGGAGACACGATTAAACTCCTTCACCAATGACTAAGTAAGGAGACACGATTAAACTCCTTCACCAATGACTAAGTAAGGAGACACGATTAAACTCCTTCACCAATGACTAAGTAAGGAGACACGATTAAACTTCACCAATGGCTAAGTAAAGAGACACGATTAAACTCCTTCACCAATGACTAAGTAAGGAGACACGATTAAACTTCACCATTGACTAAGTAAGGAGACACGATTAAACTCCTTCACCAATGACTAAGTAAGGAGACACGATTAAACTCCTTCACCAATGACTAAGTAAGGAGACACGATTAAACTCCTTCACCAATGACTAAGTAAGGAGACAAACCAATGACTAAGTAAAGAGACACGATTGAACTCCTTCACCAATGACTAAGTAAGGAGACACGATTAAACTCCTTCACCAATGACTAAGTAAGGAGACACGATTAAACTCCTTCACCAATGACTAAGTAAGGAGACACGATTAAACTCCTTCACCAATGACTAAGTAAGGAGACACGATTAAACTCCATCACCAATGACTAAGTAAGGAGACACGATTAAACTCCTTCACCAATGACTAAGTAAGGAGACACACGATTAAACTCCTTCACCAATGACTACGTATTGAGACACGATTATTCTTCACCAATGTGTTATTATAGAGTCTCGATTAAACTCCTTCACCAATGAATAAGTAAGGAGACACGATTAAACTTCACCAATGACTAAGTAAGGAGACACGATTAAACTCCTTCACCAATGACTAAGTAAGGAGACACAATTAAACTCCTTCACCAATGACTACGTAAGGAGACACGAATAAACTCCTTCACCAATGACTAAGTAAGGAGACACGATTAAACTCCTTCAACAATGACTAAGTAAGGAGACACGATTAAACTTCACCAATGGCTAAGTAAAGAGACACGATTAAACTCCTTCACCAATGACTAAGTAAGGAGACACGATTAAACTTCACCAATGACTAAGTAAGGAGACACGATTAAACTCCCCCTTCACCAATTGACTAAGTCACCAATGACTCCTTCACCAATGACTAAGGAGACACGATTAAACTTCACCAATGACTAAGTAAGGAGACACGATTAAACTTCACCAATGGCTAAGTAAAGAGACACGATTACTTCACCAATGACTAAGTAAGGAGACACGATTAAACTCCTTCACCAATGACTAAGTAAGGAGACACGATTAAACTCCTTCACCAATGACTAAGTCAGGAGACACGATTCAACTCCTTCACCAATGACTAAGTAAAGAGACACGATTGAACTCCTTCACCAATGACTAAGTAAGGAGACACGATTAAACTCCTTCACCAATGACTAAGTAAGGAGACACAATTAAACTCCTTCACCAATGACTACTTAAGGAGACATCACTTAACACATCTGGTGTATTGTAAATCAAATCCATCTAGATCAGTCACATTAGTTTACCTGTAGAGGAACAGGACACATATAATTCCTGTTAAACAACGTATGTAGTTAAAAGGCCAGGGCTTACACATCATTCTCATTTTTAAAAAAATATTCTAGCATACTCAAGAAAACTGCAGTTCACAGTAAATGCCTTTGACAGTATACTTGATATATAGGTTTATACATAAACATTCCATTTGTTACAGGCCTGAGTTCTCAGTGGAGGTTAAATATTAGTGTAATACATGTGGAACACAGCAAGTGTTACAAGAGTTACTTCCCTTCCAACTTAATTCTTTGGCTAACGAATCATTTCCAATTTAAGTAAGAACGTTTTATTAATAACATGATCTGATATAACATATGTTTATTAACATTTAAGGTAGATCACACATCAACAACATGTTTTTACAGTATTTATCTTTGACCACATCATTGTACATGTTTATCATATTTCACTTCATGTCTAACAGGTCTGAAGTGTATAATTTCTAAAGCTGAAGTTCCTAACATCTCCAATGGTCACAGAAAACTGTCTGTAGTGTTGATCTCCTAATACAGGCCTACTGTAAGACAATGTCAGCTGGGTTGTTGTAACAGAATTCTTAACTTACTGTTGATTTTATTAAAAGATCATCCTATTACTGAACTATGTCAAGAGTTCTACTACAGATATAAAACATTGTCCACAGTTACTTCTGTGATCTGTTAATGTTTTTATACATGTCTCATCTATCCACAGTTATTTTTATACTTGTCTCATCTGTCCACAGTTATTTGTGTGATCTCTGAATGTTTTTATACTTGTCTCATCTGTCCACAGTTATTTTTATACATGTCTCATCTGTCCACAGTTATTTTTATACTTGTCTCATCTGTCCACAGTTATTTTTATACTTGTCTCATCTGTCCACAGTTATTTTTATACTTGTCTCATCTGTCCACAGTTATTTCTGTGATCTGTGAATGTTTTTATACTTGTCTCATCTGTCCACAGTTATTTCTGTGATCTGTGAATGTTTTTATACTTGTACAGACTGACAGTAGTATTCCACAGTGTTGGTAAATATAGTGTTGCTTCACCATAAAGATATTGTCTTTGCAATAAAGATTTTGTCATTATTCCGGACCTATACACTACACAAAAGTCAGGTGTCAGCAGATGCCATCTCATAATCTGGAGGGAATCTTCTCTTTTTGAAGTTTTCGATACCAACCTGAAAATGTTCAATGATAAAAATTAATGTAAAAAGAACACAGTCATCACTTCTGTGATTTCCTTGGTAACAGAACAGGCACCTGTTTTAGAACTGTTGTAGTAATTTTATATCACAAGACAACCACTTTATAATCACATGTGACAATATCACCACATCACATTCATGTTATTGTTAAATTATCGGCAAAGTCACCAGGCATCAACCCAACTTATATCCGACCATCAGAATGAGACAATAGACATAATTAAACACTGAGAAAGAACTATCAGAAGTATGTTTTAAAATTCCAAAACAGAAACAGGTTCTCTATGTTTTACAAACACACGTTGTCAGTGTTGTTTAACATATAACAAAATCAGCTGGTAATGTTGTCAGTGTTGTCTAACATATAACAAAATCAGCTGGTATTGTTGTCAGTGTTGTCTAACATATAACAAAATCAGCTGGTAATGTTGTCAGTGTTGTCTAACATATAACAAAATCAGCTGGTAATGTTGTCAGTGTTGTCTAACATATAACAAAATCAGCTGGTAATGTTGTTAGTGTTGTCTAACATATAACAAAATCAGCTGGTAATGTTGTCAGTGTTGTCTAACATAACAAAAATCAGCTGGTAATGTTGTCAGTGTTGTCTAACATATAACAAAATCAGCGAATTATGTTGTCTAACATATAACAAAAATCAGCTGGTAATGTTGTCAGTGTTGTCTAACATATAACAAAATCAGCTGGTAATGTTGTCAGTGTTGTCTAACATATAACAAAATCAGCTGGTGATGTTGCCAGTGTCGTATAACATACAAGAAAATTTTACATATACATCATAATATTGTGAGACTGAGTTAATGGGTTAAGTTACACCTATTGATACCAGTAGATACTGCTTGTTCAGTATGTACACAAACAACTTTACCTCAAATGTCTTCAGTACATGGTCACAGGCATGGTACAGATCTGTCAGGCCTTTCTTCAGGATTTCTGTAGCAATCGCACCTGTATAGATAACAAACTTGTTACAACAAATATAAGGAGAAATTAATCATCACATTTGTCTTATATACATAATGTACTTCAACCAACAGAACACAAAACATGTCACAAAACATGACACAAAACATGACATTAAACGTGACACAAAACGTGACACAAAACATGACAACAAAACATGTCACAAAACATGACACAAAACATGACACAAAACGTCACAAAACATGTCACAAAACATGACACAAAACATGTCACAAAACATGACACAAAATGTGACACAAAACGTGTCACAAAACATGTCACAAAACATGTCACAAAACATGACACAAAACATGTCACAAAACATGACACAAAACATGACACATGATACAAAACATGTCACAAAACATGTCACAAAATAGAACAAAAAAACAACAGAATACATGCTCATACTTACCATTAGTCTGGATGCGAAAGTTGATCTTGTTTTCTGATGGGTGAGGTATACTGTAACCACAGAACTGGACATCTGGGCTAGAAATACAGAAAAGTTAACAATCATTGATAGATCTTGAACTGATGGAAAGAACCATTCACTAGCATAATATACTGGATGGATATATGAGAATTCTACAGTAATCAAAGTGTAGATTGTCCTGGGATATCTCAGATTTACGGCTCTAGAAGCTCCATTGTTTATAACCTATCTGAGATACAGAAATATCCAACTAAAAGCACTTCTCTTCTTCACCTTTAATAACAAAGTGTCACACACATATCAAAATGTTCTGTCCTTTTTGTCTTAACAGACACACTTCTGCATCTCACAGTGAAATCCATATTAAAATGTTTTGTCCCCTTTGTCTTACAGACTTACCAATATATCCAGGTAAACAAAGATGCAGTTGTAATTACACACTTTAAGTGACTAACAACAAGAAATATCCCATCTCTTCAATAGCTATTTCCACATAGTCTTTGAATGAAGTTTCACCTTAATGGTCATACTGCTACATCTGACTTAAACAGTCCACCTGACTTTGTCTTCAGTAGTGATGCTATCCTGTTTGACTTGGAATTATTTATCTGGTTAACCTAAGATTTGATATGTCAGACTGAATATGTATTCAGGGTTTTCCATAAGAGCCGGTCGCCGGATCATTTGGCCGCCTACACCAATCCAGTTCCGTAATAATGTTCCGTACACGACTACACGTACATGGCAGGCCAGCCTCCTACTTTCACTACACAGCCTACTACTTACAAAATTATGGAAAACCCTGTGTATTATCAAAAAGCAACATAGAAGCTAAAAACAATGTACCTTATTTTACTGGGCGGTGACCAATGTGGTCTATGCACTGAAAAGGAACTAAAGAGGAGGATTACTTTTCTCTTACCATGGACTACTGGAACACTCGACCAGCTTGGAGGTGAGATAGGGGATCTCAATCCATGGGGATGATTAAGCTAGGAGCTTGCCGAGTGTTTGTAACTCAATCATGTTTTCCCAAGGGCTGTGATCCACACATCTCACTATAAGCAGGGTAAATGATTACTTTCCTCTTTCTCTGCTGGCTGTATCATACATTAGTTTCTGTACATGTTATCCTAGATCTTTGCATTGAGGATGTGATGTCACAGTTATGAAAAGATTGTTGAATTGTTGACATGATGCTAGTGAATTTGTACTGTGACGTCAACACTACCGTCCCGACAGGAGAATCCCCTCTCTCAACCCTAGGGTGAGACAATAGAATCTTACCTGGGTCTGTTTCGCTTAAAAGAATATCTCGGCCTGAGTGCATATGTAAGAGTTTGACTGGTCAGCATGAGGCTTGCCAGGATGAGAAAGTTCTGTCCATGACACAGACCCATGTTTGATTATTTTTCTCAGTAACAAATTCAAGTTTTTGTGAAACATATTCGTGGAGTCATCATCATTAATGTTCCATGGAATGTGTATCCCAATTGATGACATTCTGAATTTTCTACATGGTTATGCCACATGGTTATGCCACATGGTTACTCCATGGTTATGCCACATAAAATGATGATGCTTAACCCCAATGCGATTAGTCTCACAGCCCGTGCCAGCTGTCCTTCCTTACCCTGTGTAGGATAGAGTTATTCCATCCCAAGCAATCACAGGATGACCTTGTGAAGTAGGATAATACTGACTCAGGACACTTTACATTCATATATAGTTTAATTATGTTATCTTTTATTATTGTTCATGAATAAATTGTCAAATCCTTCTTGTGTCTGTTTTGCATACCTGATCATTCTGACAATCAAAGATGGCCGCCTAACACAATCTTTAATTTTTCCATGAAATATCAAACTTGAAAATCCTATAGCAATGTAATGTTCCTCATCTTTGGACCTTTATTTCTCAAAAAAAAAGAACAAAACAACAAAAAACAACAAAAAAAAACCCTATGCACATTATGTGGATTTTTACGGAATGTGAGAATTATAAATCGTCATCAATGCCAATGTCAATTTTTTTTATGTTGATGGTAAAGTCTTAAAGTGGATAACAAATAATCCATTGAAAATTCATTAAAATATTTATCATTATTATAATTACTAATATAAGTAGGAACAAAGGATGAAAATGCAACAAAGACAATATCTTGAGACTTACTTTTTCATGATGATGTAGCGAAGGGAGTTACCCAGTGTGTGGTCTTCACCATGTAATACAAATGTCCGACATGTTTCATCCTCATTATCAGTCTCTATCTAGAATGTTAAGCAAAGCTCATTAGTGGATTAGGAATGAATGAACTTTATTGTAATTCTGGATAAAAGGAAATTTACCAAAGAGAAATGTATTATTAGATCATTAAAACATTTGATTCGAAGGTGATTTGAAGGAATCTTTCTTTACTTATAATTATGTATGATTATATCATTAAATCATTTCTGTAAAGTTACACTACTTAATCAGCTAATGAGTGACTGTGATTCTGTTTCATCTAGTTAAAGTTCCTACCTAAATTGAGATTGGTGAAAGGTTGTGTTCTCTGGGGGTTTTACTTTATAGTTGGTGACAGATGATGAAAATCTGTATATATTTGGCTTAATGGAAATCTTCATTTCTAACACATTTCAATATCTGATAGGTGGATTTACACAGGTATAATATATTGGGTTTTTTTTCGTAAGGGAGTGGTTAGTTTCATTGGGTAAACTTCTGGTTGTTGAATTCTGACCACAATGTCTCTGATGCTAATCTATTAACTTATTCCATTTGTAGCATTTCACAAGTATGTTTCTATAAATCTAGACAGTTGTTATAAATCACTTGGGTTGAAATTCAAACATTGAATTTATTTATTTAAATTCTAAGTAATAACACAAAATAATTCATTTAGTTGCTGGAGTCTTTAAGCATTGTGACAGGTATATTCTGTTGATGTCTTTGTTAACAGCTGTTTGATGTCCATCAACTCAGAACTTGGGTCAGAATGTGGAGACAAACTGTCACTTTCATATACATGTTGTACTAATGAACACTGGACATTCTTCATGATACCAATATACTTTCTGTAAAGACATTTTCCCCATCTACTTCTGTTGTAGTTAAAGTTTGTGCGATCAGTATTAATGCTTCTTTAAGTCACGTAACTCTAGTTTTGTTGGGCTAATTCTTCATGCTTGTGTGCAGAAGTTTAGACAAAAATCATAAAAATTAAAATACTTTGTCTACCTTGTGCTCTCTGCTACCAGTACTGTAAATAGGCATCTTTCATAAAATCAATCATTCAAAATTAATGTTTACACTTAACTATGATACATGACACTTGCAGTAAAGAATAGATGCAGATGTTTTATCTGTAAGCAGCCTGCATATGAAAACAACCATTTGTTATAACAATCAATGGAACTGGTGACTGCTCACTGAAAACAATATTATTGGAGGCTTTTCTTGTCTGAATTTTTGCATTTGGTCATATTACTGACATATATCTGTGAAAATATTTTAAAATGGAGAGTTTGGAAGAGGAAAGTAATGATCATTACTATTATGTGTATTATGAATACTTTGGTGCACCAAGGTTCTTCATCCTACATTCAATGCAAGCCAAGTTACATCCCAAACATAAAATTTTAACAAAGGGCAATAACTTTGTAAATATGGGGTTGTAAGCCTTGAATATACTGATCTAGGTTCTAGGTGTGAAAAATTAATCAACATGACTGATGAATGTTTCTAAGAATCATGCTCCATCAGCTAACTGGCAGATAGATCATTCAACATAAAACATCCATTATCATTTCAAAGAACATAAATTAAAGACTTAACATGGCAAGAAAATGCTAAATGCTACCAAGCAAACTGAGAACATTTATACAGGAGTAACTTCATCAGCTGATTGACGGACAGTATTCAACATGTACCTTCTTTTATAATTCAAAACCACATTTAGCTATAATTCAAACAAATTGAAATTTTGAGAATTAAAGATGTTTGTTCTACTTCATGATCAACTTCTGGGAAATTAACAATATTGCTCTATTTGGGTGGGAATAGGTGGCTTTGCACAGGCGTGCATTTTCATATTTCTATGCAGCATGTCTTTTGATGGCAAGTCTGGTCCCTTGTTTATTTAGAAGTACTGAAAACCTGCTATACATCAATGACATTATTTGAAAAAGAGAGTTATATGTCCTACTCCATGCATCGGCATTGATGCATTTTGTGCGATGTCCTTGCTACATGTTGTCTCAGTTTCACGTTAAATTTCAAAAGTCTAATGTGAGAACATAAATATTCTATTATGTGATATACATTAGTATTAAGGAGATGCGAGCCAAAGTTTTTCATTTGTTGTGTAAATAAGACATTCACATGTTCAGGGCTCTCCATTAGTCTGTCGATTTGTGAAAATAATCACATTATATTATACCACCCAGTCCCTACCACATGGACCGAAACGACTTACTAGTCGTATAGTGGCCGGTACTGATACACTGTGCAAGTTTTGGTGTTAGAACTACATCCTAGTCTAACACACCATGACGGTACAGTTCCTGTCTCATTCAATCCCTGCTACAGAAGAAATGTATGGGGTATAACCAGGCTGTGCCATTCCCGCAAACTTACCACCTCTAACAGATTCTTTTTTTCCATTTTCTGTAAGTCGTTGTCGTCCCGAAACATGTGCAACTTCCGGTTATAATAGTGGGATATGCTAATGACAAGAGACCTTACCAGAAATGAACAATTTTTCGGTTAAAAACATGACAATACGGTATATTGATATATGTTAAAAGAGGGTCGTATTAACTTAAATAAAAATATCATATCCTGTAGCAAAGGATCAAGAAAAGCTAAATGCATTAAGATGTTGCTATAGAGAATGAAGGACGACAGTGGTGTAACTATAGAGAATGAAGGACGACAGTGGTGTTACTATAGAGAATGAAGGACGACAGTGGTGCAACTATAGAGAATGAAGGACGACAGTGGTGTAACTATAGAGAATGAAGGACGACAGTGATGTTACTACAGAGAATGAAGGACGACAGTGATGTTACTACAGAGAATGAAGGACGACAGTGGTGTTACTACAGAGAATGAAGGACGACAGTGGTGTTACTATAGAGAATGAAGGACGACAGTGGTGTTACTATAGAGAATGAAGGACGACAGTGGTGTTACTATAGAGAATGAAGGACGACAGTGGTGTAACTATAGAGAATGAAGGACGACAGTGGTGTTACTATAGAGAATGAAGGACGACAGTGGTGTAACTATAGAGAATGAAGGACGACAGTGATGTTACTATAGAGAATGAGGGACGACAGTGGTGTTACTATAGTGTTACTATAGAGAATGAAGGATGACAGTGGTGTTACTATAGAGAATGAAGGATGACAGTGGTGTTACTATAGAGAATGAAGGATGACAGTGGTGTTACTATAGAGAATGAAGGATATATCCTGTTGTATTTAGTATTTACATATCATAATGATCGCCTATATCCTGTTGTATTTAGTATTTACATATCATAATGATTGCCTATATCCTGTTGTATTTAGTATTTACATATCATAATGATTGCCTATATCCTGTTGTATTTAGTATTTACATATCATTATGATCGCCTATATCCTGTTGTATTTAGTATGTTAAATATTTGTGTTGTTAATGAAAACCTCTTTTGGTTTACTTAACATGTGACATTTCTGGTAGAACTGTATGAAATATTGTTTCCACAGAGAAACGTTGTCATACAATATGGCAGTTCCAATAAGCGATCTTGTATTTTTGTCATTTTCATTTTGTTCTTTGTATTTTTTCCCTTCTATCTTTGTCAAGTGCCTTTTTGTTAATTGCAATGTTGTCCTTTGTAGTTTTGTTTTCATTTTGTCCTTTGATTTTTTTTGTCCTCTGTGTTTATGGCCCTTGAATTTTTGTCCTGTGTGTTTTTTATCACCTTTAAGTTTTGTCATATATATTTTCTCCTTTGTATTTCTTTCCTTTTTATTGTTGTCCTTTGTACTAATGTTCCATGTATTTTTCCTACAGAGGATTAGTTTTAACATTCCCTTATCACTGTGTAAACAAGCTAGATAACAAAGCGGACGCAGATTTAATATCTCCGAGGAAACTGACTCATCGACGCCGACAACCTCTTTAGAAGTTGTATGCGTATAAAACAATTTGCTGGGGATATGAAATGCATTTAAACTCTTCAGAGTATGAAAATGATAGATATCTCTTTAAAAATATATAGTTACTCATACTTATGGTTAATACTTTCTATGAAACGGCCGCTATCAAACATAATCGATGTGGGAAGACTTGTCTTATTACATAGAACATTACAGTATACAGAGCTAAGTGTGATGAAGGTAAGAAGCAACCTCCTTCAGCTTGGTAATTAATTGCATAAAAACACAAACATTTGTTGTTAAAGGTGAGTGTATATTTATTTTATTTTATAAAACGGAAGACAGGAAACCGCCATGTATATCAAGCATGCTGACAGTAACATTAAATACGATGGATAACTTGAATTATAAATTTTAGAGCCTTGTTGAAGAAGTAGATGAATTGCTATACTGATTAGAAAATAATGAAACGATTCAATCAAAACTAGGAATTATTGTAAATTGGTTTCAAAGTTAATTCAAAAATCGATTCAAGGTTATGTTAACTTTACGTTTAAACTGAACAGGAAAAGCAGATCGATTTATGAACAGAATCTTAGTTAAAACTTGAAGTCGATAACGAGGACAAAATATAAACAAAATAAATATTTATACAGGAAGAATTAAAGATTACATTAACAATGAATATACCGATATCTTAAAATAGTTAAATATCTAATAATTCAATCAATGAAATTGTCATAAGCGGTGTATACAGTTAAATATAAAGATATCCCGGCCTATTTGATTAATCAAGATACGATAATTTGTAAACCTTTGTATGATATACCGATACAATTCAGTATACAATATAATTCTGAATCATACCTTAACAAGTATTGCTTTATTATGTGGATACGCATATTTCATAGCAGTTCTACAACCTTCTGGTGATTACAGTGTAAAAGAAGGATATACTGATAACATATATTTAAATAGATATCCGAAAGCAGTCACTGCTAAAGTGAAAAAATCACAATTATATAAGATACAAAACAACAAACATATCAAAGATTGCATGGAACAAAAATAGAAATAATAAAAAACAAAAATAAAAACAAAAATAAAAACGAAATAATCAATAAAACAAGGAACCATAAATACAGGGATTAAGCACGGGTGAAAAACATTTTAGCACTAAGCCATCTGAGGTAAGCATCAAAGTGATTTTATGAAATATAGGGTTTAAATATGTAATGTAATTTTTTTAATCTGGAAAGGGTTGGTTGTAAAATGATATTTGTAGACAAACTAGACAAACTTTGCTGGCACGTAGTCTTCACAAAAAACTGCGGTCACCGTCAGGAAATTGTATTAGTTTTGATGCAGTGAAGGGACCGTTGGAAACGGTTGATATTTTGAATCGTGAAGGCATGTTTTTGTCCTAGAAGGCCTTAACAGCTGTATGGTGAAACTAGAGTGTCATTTTACTCTAAATATAAGTACAATGGTGATATTAAGATTGAAACACAAAATGTTTTAAACTGATTTATCTGTAACTGGCAGGTTAACATGGTTTTAGTAACGATTTAATTACGATAATGTAAACTAATGTGAGACTACTACATGGACATCCATATCTTTAATCAACCTCATGAAACAGCTTGCTGAAAACAAATAGTATTCTTTATTATGATTACATAACAAAATGGTCTCTAAAGTCACACTTTAGACAAACAATAATTCAAGGATAAAGTTTACACTCTAATGTCACACTTTAGATAAACAATAATTCAAGGATAATGTTTACACTCTAATGTCACAGTTTAGATAAATAACAGTTCAAGGATAAAGTTTACATTCTAATGTCACAGTTTAGATAAATAACAGTTCAAGGATAAAGTTTACATTCTAATGTCACAGTCTAGATAAATAACAGTTCAAGGATAAAGTTTACACTCTAATGTCACAGTCTAGATAAATAACAGTTCAAGGATAAAGTTTACACTCTAATGTCACAGTCTAGATAAATAACAGTTCAAGGATAATGTTTACACTCTAATGTCACACTTTAGATAAATAATAATTCAAGGATAAAGTTTACACTCTAATGTCACAAGTACATGTCTGATTCAGGCCGAGAAACTTCGTCCTTTTCATGGAGATGTCCATAGGTTCCTTCATTGAAAGCCCCCACATGATCATACAAGTCACTTCCCGTTTCTAAACTTCTCTGATGTAGAACACCATATCCGTCTTCTGAATCGACCTCGATATTCGGTACATGATCATAAGTGTCATTTCCGGATTCCAAATCTGTTCTGGTTCTTTTGCTGTCAAATTGGTCGTACTGGCTGTCGTCATCAGACTCTGTGGGTGTATCCGTAACATGCTGTACTGAGACACTATTCTCTCGTGGAAGGTAAATTGGGTTTTGAAACTCTCCATCATTACGCACCTTTCCCCTTAATGATTTATCAGTGTAGCGAGCGATGACAGGATTTTGCTGAAAACCCCATTTGGATTGTATCCTGTTTCGAATACACTTTATATACACTACCGTAGCCGCTATGGCTATCAATACTACTAAACCAGAAATAGTTCCAGCGATCAGGGCAGTGTTACTCTGGATATCTTGTCTGGCCTCCTTTGTACCGACCGGTTTCACGGTTGTGTTCCCTACAGTGCTTACTACATTGGTACCAGATGTACTTTCAGCGACTGTTATACCACTTCCAGTACCTGTCTTGTTTACAGTCCAGCCTGTAATATAAGTTACCTTAGCGGATGTACTATAAACAGTAGACTCTGCGTTACTTCCCGTTGAAGAAGTTGTCTGTGATGTCTCAGAAGATGACGATGATGCGAAAGTTGTTGTGTGTGATGTCTCAGAAGATGACGACGAAGCGGAAGTTGTTGTCTGTGAGGTCTCAGAAGATGACGATGAAGCGGAAGTTGTTGTCTGTGAGGTCTCAGAAGATGACGACGAAGCGGAAGTTGTTGTCTGTAAGGTCTCAGAAGAAGACGACGAAGCGGAAGTTGTTGTCTGTGAGGTATCGGAAGATGACGACGAAGCGGAAGTTGTTGTCTGTGAGGTCTCGGGAGATGACGACGAAGCGGAAGTTGTTGTGGTATTGGAATGGTCGGTGGGGTATACATGTGTGGAAGACATGATCGTCTCATTGCTGTCAAGTTGGGACATTGTAACAGGTGATTCAGTCGTGAAGTTAACATTCGGAGAGGTTGGACAAGCAGACCACGTGTTATTCTCGGATTGTATTTCACATCTGATATTTATAGCTAACGTCGAATTTATCATCGGGAGGTCAGATATGATTTGGTAATTTGTGACGTCGGTGCAGTTTGTTGATACTAAACCGTACCATGTTCCTGTCCAAAACAAGACGTTACTGACCGACAAATTTATAGTGGATACGTCTACCTGAGCCAGGTGTAAATTTCTTAATTCACAGGCGTTTACTGCATCTGTCCATGTCCCATTCTCCTCACCATAGATTTGGTAATTATTGTTTTTATCAGAACAGATGAA